CGCAGAGAAGTGGAGGCGGCGCAGAGGCGGCAGCGGCAGGGCAGGTCGCGCGGCGCAGAGCAGATGGCCGCGCCGCAGTCTGAGGGCCGCTCCTGTGTGCCCGAGTGCTGCTCCGCTGCTGCGGGCATGGTCCGCCCGCAAGGCTATCAAGGCGACACCGGTTCCTATTGGTGCGCCATAGCCCGCGTCAGGGAATGCAAGATCCCCGGAAAGGCTTGCGGTGATAGGTGTTGGTACTCATATGCCGGCAAGGAGCACTACACCAAAGACTTCGGGATTATGCGCGGCCAGAGCTTGTCTCGCACTGTGGATGGCGCAGAGCCGCAGGGAAAGCAGCTCGACAAGCACGGAGAGCTGTGGTGCGCGGTGGCTAACTCCTACTTTGGCAGAATCCCAGGAAAAGCCAAGGACGGACGCTGCTGGTTCCCGTATGGTGGCCAAGAGCATGTGACCACGGACTTTTTTTACGTCTCCTGAGCTCGCGGCGTGGCAGTAGGTGGCTTGGGTGGGTGTCGGAGCTGCCTATGGCGAAGCCTAAGGTGCAGCAGTTGGGCATGAGGGGAGCTGCCGAGCAAAAAGTGAGCTACTGCAGGCAGAATTGTGTAGCTGGTTGTCGTCGGAGAGTTGGCATGAGCTGAGTGTAATGCTATATGTGGCGAGCCAGTTTGTGTTAGGGCCGTCTAGGGCTTAGGGATTGGGCGTGTGCGTGGAGAAGCTAGGCTGCTGTGCATTCTCGGCTTCGCGGGCAGTGTGGTCCAGCTTGCTGCTGGCATTTCGGATGACCCTCGACGCGAGGGCATGTCACGCGGGCGCGCAGCAACCAGCATGCTGCGTGGATGACCTGCCAGAGATGCCCTGAGGACGAGCTATGTGACGAAGGCCGCGGGGCACGGACAGCGTCGAGCTCTAGGCATTGCTGCCGAGATTCTTGAGACGGCGCTCGCGGAATTGCAGGATGTAGTGAGCCCAGAGGATTGCACGGAGAAGATTGTGACGGGCAAGGTCATGGAAGTGAAGGGGCGACAGCTTCAGGCAAGCGGAGGAGGGCTGGACTACTGCGTGAGACCGGGCACCAGCGTCCCGGCTGCAAGGACGTTTGCCGCGATGGGGAATCGCGTGGCGGCCGCCAGTGGAGAGGCCGATGGTCCGACTTCGACATGGCTCAGCCGACACCGCCCCGCTGCCGGCAGGACAAGAGCCGCAAGCGTGCCGCCGTCGGTGAAGACGGAGGACTTATGTCGAGAGACAGGCGGCGCTGATCAAGAGTGGGAAGAGCTGGACAGGCTGGAGGCTGAGCTCATGGAGCGCAAGGCCAGGCTCGGCGCAAGGCCGAAGCAGCAGCCGCACCAGCGGCGCGGAGAAGCGCGGCTGGCAGCTGCCGGCGTCTGAGCCCTCTGTGGCCTCCTGGCTGTGCGACAGCATTCTTGGGCGCGGCTAGTTGGCAATCCAGGCCGAAGGCCGGGATCTGGCAGCTTGTTCTGAAGTGGAGTGCGGTCGCCTGAGACTGACCAGCCTTGGTCCTGGCTAACGCCCAGTGAATGTGCTAATGCAAGCGACCTGCGCAGTGAAAACTTGCAACTGACTGTTTGTCATGATTTGTGGGATTTGCGGTCGTTTGAAGTTGAGTTGTGAGCTGAGCTTGCAGCATGTATTTGCGTTCCGGCTCAGCTGCGTTCGGTTTGTGTCAGATGTGTTTCGCAATGTTTCTCCCATGCCCCGGCGCCAAATGAACCCTGTCAGCAGTAGTGATGAGACGAGGCAGATGCTGCGACCTCATGAAACTTCTCCGGGAGTCGGACAGCAGTTTGCGAAGTGATGGGGACGTGCGAATCCGGAAGCTGCCTTTTGCTTCTTGTCGATGCGCGCTGCTCCGGCAAGTGTGGAGAGTGGCTGCGTGGGAGGGGGCGAGTGCTATGAGCCCGCAGACCGGTGGCATATTGTGAAGGCTGGGAGCCAAGTCGAAAGCCGGGCGTCGGCGGAAGCTTCTCGGCGATGCGTGCTACTCTGGCAGCTGTGGAGACTGGCCGCGTGTGGGGGCCAGCACTATGAGCCTCCTGCGTGCTGCAGACCGCTGGCATCTTGTGAAGACTGGGTGCCAAGTCGCAGGCTGGGCGCCCGCAGGAATCAGTTCTTCGTCTCGTTAATCCCGCCCACCCAGGAAGGAACGGTCGCGAGTACGACCTCTTCCAGGCAGTTGGCCGACTGCCGGCGAAAGAACGGGGAGGCCGGTCTACCCAGGAGGGAACTCAGCAAAGACTACGACAACACCTTCAATGCAGTAGCCGACTGCAGATTGTGGGGAGGCATGCGCAAACGTCAAGGTCTCGTGCGTGGTCTCGTGACAAATGTCACAGCTGGCCAGTGGCACCCTGCAACACGCTGCACCGACATCACGAAGAGTTGAAGCTGTAAATGTGAGCGCCTCGGCGTCAGCATCATGCAGAGAGTTGTGCAATTGATGAAGCTTTGTGTTGGCAGGTGGGTTGACATAAATCCCCTGCATCATTCTAGGATTAGAATTTATCTTGCCCCCAGACGTTTTTGCAGCGGCGCTGGGCTGTTCGCCCAGAGGGTGATAGCCAGCAGGTCGCGGGCTGCGGCGGCGAGCTTGTATTGTCTCCTTTCGTCAAAGCAAAAAGCGAGGTGTGAGTTGCATGCTTGGCGTTTTATTGGTGGTGCGAGCTGAAGTGATGCGTGGCTGATGACGGCTCAAGTCTAGCTTTTTTGGTCGCCGAGAATGGTACCATTCTCCAGATGCTAAAAAAGCCAGAGGTAGTTTTTTGGGCTTTTCTATGAAGACAGGCTTGCCGCCTCTGTGAGAAATGTCAAAGACCGTGCTGCAGATCCAAGCGAGCTGGAAGCAGGACGCCGTGGACATCAGGACGTTGTTGCAGATCGCCAGCGGCTGGGCAAATGCCTGCAGCGAAACGAGCCTGTGGGCACGGAGGCACGATGAGAAAAAGATTGCCTTGTGGTGGCTGCCGCGACGGCTGGTGCAGACGTACTGTCGGGAGGATCATCGGGTGCGCAGGCTCGCCGGCTACTTCGCGAGAGAGTTCGATCTGGCGCTACCTGCATATGTACCGCCGCGGTGGAGTATACCTGGACTTCAAGTGCGGATTGCTTCAGCCGCTCTGGAGGTGGCTTCTCGAGCTACAAAACGCTTGTGCAGCATGAGCTGGGCCGCCAGGGCGAAGCCCGGGCAGGTGCTCAGTGTCCTCCATTTTGGACCAGATGTGTTTCCACATGTTTCGTTATTTCAGTTTCTTGAGGTCTTCGATTGCAAGGGATTGATGTCACATGTGCCACGCTCAGCTGCATTCGGTTTGGATCAAACATGTTTCAAAATGTTTCGTAATTCCAGTTTCTTGGATCTTCGATTGCAAGGGGTTGATGTCACATGTGCCGCACTCAGCTGCCTTCGGTTTGGACCAGATGTGTTACGCAGCAGGCGGGAGTAGGCGTGCGCCCAGGCCGAAGGCCGGGGTTGCGCCCAGGCCGTTTTGAGCACTTTTTCGACCAAAAACGGAGCGGTGACAAAGACCGGTGACATCGGAAAAACGTTCAGCAGGATGGAGAATTTGGCTGTTTTGCAGGCTTTTTCGACCCAAAACCGAAAATTAATTGGTTACTATAAGACTATGTTCCTTACTACTGTTAGAAGCAGGGACTGTTGCAGAACTCTCTAGTCGGAGGATTTTCCTACTACTTACCTCTGTGAGACAGAGCCTGTGGCATGTTATTTACGTGTGTAAAATCGGCTTAAAGATGGCTTTGTGAATGACTGTGTTTTGTCGCATTCAACGGTTTTGCCCAAACATTGTAGCGATGAGCAGCTTGCGCCGCGCGAGCTGCCTTAGATTGAAAGAATTCTGCGCTGAAAGTTACTCTGCGAGGCAACCTGAGAATTGAATCTCACATTTAGGCTGCTGCAATTGCTCGTTTAGCCCAGAGCCAATCATGCGCAATGTATGCTGGCCCTGCGTTCCATGACAGTTCCAAGCCGGGTTGCGGGTATTGTAAATAAAAGGGTTTGCGAAGCGCATTTAACACTCAGCAAGAGATTGTTCCGATGCTTGGAATGTCCTGACTTTCCCAATGCAGACATGCAACAAGCAGAGCCCAAGGCAAGGGTTGAGGAATGTTGAGGATCTTCTGCCATTCGATTTTCCGTGGCATGGAGGCTCGGCCGCCTTGTGAGTTGCCCTTTTTCGTCAAAGACCGTCACTGCGATCAGGTGAAACGCGCGAATTCTGCCGTAAAGGGTCAAACCAAAAAGGCTGCATGTTAAAAGTGCTCCAAGCAACCATTGAGCATTTGAGCCCTGAAAGGTTGGTTGGCAATCAGAACTCTAGATCTGTGCCAACGTTCGGCATGCAACCTCGCACAACCCTTGAGCCTGCAAGTCCACCAAGGTTTGTCGGATGTTCTCAGCTAGGAGCACTGGCCTGGGAAACATAGCGATCACTGGACATAAACCCGGACATATTTTGCCCATGGTTCAGGTCATCGCTTCCCCCGCGACACAACGAAGGCCGCTATTGCTCGCCTTTTCTGCCCGGATTTCGATAGTGGAGACAGTCAGTTAGCGTTGCACGTACTGCGCAGCCTGTCACAAAGACTTCGGGGCTTTGGCCAGCCCTTTTATATAAAGATGAGCTTTGCTTACCACATGTTTTGCATTTGGGAATTGCATTGCATTCTCAGCGGTGGCATCTGACAAATACGAAGTATATTGTATAACACGCAGTGACGCCGCAAGGCTTGCGTGCCGCTGAAGCCCTAATGCTTCGCAGCCTCATAGCCCTCATGACTGATTGGGCCAGGGGTCGGGTAACTTCCTTTCATTTTCATGGCTTGCCCTTGCAGATGGCAGAGCGATTGAGCAAACCTGGATGGGAAACCCAAGCGGCGTCGGTTGAACCCTTCGAGGTAAAACAACCTTGCCCTCTTCTTCATGATTCCTTTGAGGATTCACCCACGCCAGCGGCCCAGTTTTCAGAAGCTATTGGCTCACCAAGCCTTCCTGCGCCATGTCCTTGCTTCGAGTTCCCTTCGCCTTCTATCGTAGCGGCTCGTCGAGGGGCCTGTTCCTTCAAGAGCCTTGGATTCTTTGGACATAGGACGGTGAGGTAGGCAGTTTGCCAAGTTGGGCGAAGACCCGGAATCGACAAAGTTAGGGTTACCCATGTCAGATGTTGCACATCCGTATTCATTACTTTGAGCGGGCAACTTGCTTACATGCGACGAGGCCGCTTCCCAGGAAGACCTTGTGTGATTGCTTCAGTTTTACTCTTGGCATCATTGCTGCCATGGCTCAGTTTGATTTATTTGATTCATGTTACTCATTTGGTTGGGTGGTGTATTGCCATTTGGGTATGGGTCAAAAATACACCAGGGGACCACAGGATTTGGTCCATGTTTCCACTTACCAGGGTCCAATGTGGGTACCTTGTTTTTTGACCCACGGCCATTTGAACATGCTCCAAATTACTCGGGAGCCCATGGGGCGACCGAATGACGCATTGTGAAAGGTGGAACGGACTATGGGTTGTCTCTTGACCCACAGCCATTTGTTGAGCCTTACGTTGGCTCAATTGTTTCGACGAGGAGGAGCACGTGCCTGCTCGAGGCGCTGCCCGTGAGCGTTTGCTCTGCAAGCTTATGGGCAGCGGGGTCCCAGGGCAGGTCAGCGGATTCGGTGGATTGACCGGGCCCACCAACAAGGCTGGGGCAAGGCTTCGAGCTTTGGGTCTTTGCTTTGGTGGGTGAGAGAAGCTGAGTTTGGCGTGGCAGTGATTGTTGTCGGTACTGTGGCTGAGTTGAGGTGATTTGAGTTCAGTCGAGCTAGGCTGCCGCATAGTCGTTTGGTCGCTGAGCCACTCAGAGGGCGGTTGCGTGAACGAGACAGTCCCTGCAAGAATGCTTTGCTGTCATTCTTTGGGAGAGACGCAGGTAATTAAAGGGAGGCAACACTCAGCATGCTTGAAGCCATGTTCTTTTCGCCGTCGCTGCACAGGGAAATCAATATTGTTTCAAGAGTCCTGGACATGTTAGCACCCATGACAAGCTTAAGAGGGGCTTCACGCTTTCGTTGCCAATTGATGGCAAGCCCATGCAAACGTCAGTAGTTACTCTGCCTGGGATGTTTGTGTTTTTTGCCTTCCAGGTGATGATTGTGGGGCGACACTCGCAAAGTGGATGGGTGACGATGGACTTCAACCAGGTGGCAGTGGATGTCCCGAAGGTGGACTTTTCACACGGGGACTGCGGCAACATGTTGGCGGCAGTGGGGCCCTTCGCGCTGGAACAGGGCCTCGTGGAACCGGAGATCAATGGGCAAAAAGCCACGGTGCGGATCCATAGCGCCAACACGGGCGCCTGCTATGAGGCGGAGGTGTGTCTTGGACAGAAAAAAGCTCTCGGGGCTCAGACGGGTTGACCCCATATTAATCAACTCCAGTTTATTAATAGGACCAGGAGGGTGGTTCCCCTCCAAAAGTGATGATTCCCAACTAAGACCAGGAACACCCCCCGATAAATAAACAGGGGTTTGTCAATATGGGGTCAACATTACTGAGCACAAACCAGTGAGCCAGGGAGCCACAACTTAGGCTGAGTGCTACAGTGTTGTGCTGTGAGCACGAAGGGTGGACAGGCCGAATTAGCACACCCATGTCCCAGAGAAGGCTTTTCCAGAGATTGAATGCTGGGAAAACATGCCTTTGTTGAATTGTGCAGTCGGTGCTCGCAGATTAGAGGAATATGGGCAACTTGGCATGGTGCCGATTTGTTCCCCCTGTCCCGTAAGCTGGGCACTTTTGCAAACAGGCGTCGGACCACGGAGAAACTTACGTAGCTTTCCAAGACGTGCTGCTAGCCCAAAGTCTCGGAGCTGTTACAGGCCGTGCTAGACTTGTTGGCATGGTGACAATTTCAGAGTTCCAACCTGTTGGACACGCGCGCTGTTTGACAGCTTTGTCAGATCCACATGGCCTGAGTCTTGGATTGCCCCAGGGCCTTGAACAAGCACGGGGTGGAGTACCAGGGCGACACTGCAGTCCCTGGCGTTCCAGGAACGTTTGCCCCAGTCCATCTAGCCGCCGTCGGGGTTGCAGGCAGGCGAGAGCCAACCGCGCGTCCCATGCCCAAAACCCAGGGCTTGAGTCTGGGGGTATGGTGGACATTTGTCAATCAAGATTTATTGAAAACGCTTCGCGTTGCCCGCCTCGGCCAGTCCGCTTTTGGCTGTAGCTCTCTGCGGCTCTCGTTCTGCCCTTGAAGCCAGCGGACATGCACCGACCCTCTGGCTCCGCATTTCGGCGCCGACTCACCCACTCGAATACACAACACTTCAACGCAACCTACAGCACAGTATATACCTCAAAGCCAGAATGGTGGGCCAAGCGAAGGTCCAAATTTGAAGAAAATTGATCTGTTTTTTGGGGTTTGCCGGCTTCTAGGGGGAGGTTTCTAGAAGGGAGTTTGAACGGTTTCTACGGTTTTTAAGGGGATTTGATTGGTTTCTGAAGGGGGATTTGACCGGGTTTAAGAGGAAATCGGCCGGTTTCTAGGGGGATTTGACCGGAGTTGGGAATTTCACCGGGATTTGGCCGGAGTTGGATTTACAGGGATTTGACTGACTTCTAGATGGGAAGTTGACCTGTTTCTATTGGCTTCTACAAGGGGATTTGACCCGGATTTTGATCACTGTTTGAGGGTTCTGAAGGGGTCTGACCGCTTCCCGGCCCTGAGGGCCGAGGCGAATATTGAGTGATTTTGTTGTTGGCCCCTTCCCAACCGTTGCCACCCGCATCGCATCCGGGCGAAATTTAAACTCCGCAGAACTTCATCGGGCCCTCAACATTGGCCCGTGACCCAATTGGTCACGGCCAGAAAGAACAAGTCACCTGGAGGTGGCTCATGCAAATCCGCAATTTCGTGGCTCCAAACTTCAAAGCAAAATCACGAGCTGGGGGTAAGCCGTGCTCACCCGTAATGAAGGTCCTTGATTTGGAGTTCCCTTAGATCCTCTTCGGACAGCATAGTATTTTGCCCAGATACAATTAGTGGGTGCATCAAGTCTTGGAGTGAACAAGCTGCAAGCAGAGATGTAGAAAACTGATGATTAGTTAAACCCTGGCTGATCCGTGCTTTGACCCCCTCATGACAAATAGAGTTTGGCGAAAAAAGAGAATCAGCGTGGGTTTGTATGCTGGTTTCCTTTGATCTACGAAGCTGATCGGATTCTTGGAGTCAGTGTAGTCAGTTTGGCCCTGGATCCAGTCGCAGGTTCCCAAACTGGCGCCCTGTTGCCCACGGGCCGGTCGGTCGACCTGCTGGAAGCAGACGGCCTCCACTGGGAGGCCACACTTGTCGACTTCGCCCGAGCCCTGGTGCGGCTCAGTGGCAAGTGACAGAAACCGCTGGGTCTGCTACAAACTCAGGGTGGAAGGCTGAAATGGGCTGGGAGATGCTAGCAACATTCCTGGCAGGGCCGTTGTGATTGCAACCAGTTCCAGTTATGCTGCAGGAGTTGCTTCTTTGATCTGAGGGTGTTGGACGCCAATGCTGTGCTACCAGCCTTTGGCTACTCCGAGCTCACTGAGATAACCCTGGAAGTGGCGCGGAACGACCCAAAGCTTTGTGCAGCTTTGGAAGCGGCCAGAAGACAAGCCAGCAAAGCAATGGGCCCTGCGCCTCACTATGGCAAGCGGTTTGGTATTGAAATATATGTTGTTGTTGTTTGTTGTTTTGTATTCTCAATTTATGCGGTTTTGCAGTGTTTAAAAGCAACTTCGGTTGCGCTGCCAAAGCGCCACGTGTCTTTGTTTGTTCCATCAAGCCTTGCATGCTGCCCTTTAACTTTGAAAGCCAAAGGTGTCCTGCCAAGTGTGTGTGTGTGTGTGAACCGTCCTGGAGCACGGACGCAAAACTTTAAGCAGCAGGGGGACTGGAGCCGATTTGCCTATCCAGTCCAATGAAGCTACGGCACTTCGGTGGATACCGGATCTGATCAATCCGGCGTACCTGCCTATTTCCTGACCCTCTTTCCTGATTCTTTTTGCGGTTTCTGTTTGTCGCTGTTGCTTCCTGTTCGGTGTCGATGTTGTGACCTGTTGATTTGCATTTGCATTCAAGCATTTTTACTGACTGCGTTTTGCATCTCGGCTAGTGAAGCCTCTCGAGATAAGTGTGTGTGTGTGTGTGTGTGTGTGTGTGTGTGTGCAAGCTATATGTATTTGGCCAGGGTATGACCAGGATTCGGCCATTTGACGCTTCAGCTACGTTATGACTTTCAACAGCAGCAGATGTTATCTTTGGCCTTGCAAGCATTTTGCCAGGCATGGGCGATTGTGCTGGCAATTCGCCGAAGCTCGCCTTGGTTGCGCCAACCACAGAGGCCAACTCTTTGGCGTGCTGCTACTTTGTTGCCCCAGAACGACAGGAGCCTTGAGATCTGAAGATTTTGGACATTTTGGAGATTGGTTGGTTCGGCCTCCTGATCCCAAAATGTCGGCATGTTGTCCGTGTTTTTGACTAGGCCTGCCCTCTCAGGTAGCCCAGACGGTGCCAGCCAGTCATTCCCAGCCCGAAATCAAGAACAAGAGGAGGTCACGGGATTGCAAGCCGCGCAATGATTTTTTGTTTACAGGAGCGGTGGCCTTCCGAAACCAGCTAGTAGCAGCTAGGAGATGCATCCCACCATCGCCATGACTGCAGCACAAGCGCTTGGGGCTGCCTGCTTGCTGGAAGGCAGCGTGGCTTGGAAGGCGCTGGGCAAAACGCCGGAGGCTTGACCACATTGGCAAACTCGGTCTTGTGCTTGTCCGAGTCAACAGATCCCTTCCCCATGGGCTCCGTAGCTCAAACTCATTGAGCCAGACCGTGAGGAGATCAATGGTGATCGCTTTGAGCTGCTGATTCATCATCCTCAGGGAGCCTTGGGCTGCTCGCTAGCCGTTGCGTGGGGATTGCTTCGGCAAAGGCATCCCAAAAAAGATGTGGGGAGATCCCTTTGCAGATTGTCATGTGCATCTGGTGAAGAAGCACGTCTAAGTCTATTTTCCCATGGGAGCAGAAGTGAAGCAGCCAATTCCTTCGCAGCTCAGGAGCCTTCCCTGTGAGTATCGGCATCCGGCCAGCTGAGTGCCACTTTCCACTTGGAGTTCCCGACACGGGTCGATACACCACCACTGTGTGGCCCATTGCAGATGGCGTGGCATTTGTGGATGGTGACGATGATTAGGACCAGCTGAAGGCCTGGTTGAAATCCTTTCCATTGAGCCCACTCCGGATGCCAGCCAGATTGGGACAGTGACCCTATGGATCCCTGTGGGGAATACATGGGAATACAGAATATGTCGACCTTTCTTTCATTTTGGGGCAGTCCTGAAGCAGCCCGCAGACAGGGGCTTCAGCTGTTCAACGTGAAATCGTTGGGCAGTGCCATGTATCCAGCGTCCTCATCCGAGCTGTCCTTAATCAGGGCACTCTCTTCGTTGCAAGCTTTTCTTTCATGGGGTGCCTGCCAGCACTTCCTTTTTTTGTAAGCGTGTGTTGCTATTTGCGCATGCGATCTCGGGCAAAGCAGCTACAAACGTGCAAATTTAGAGCAGCAGATCACATGGTCCGCGTTGAATGCGTGCACTGGAAGACACCACGTCATTCATGCCAGTGCTTGTCATGGAATGAATTTGAGTAGTGGTGGCTGTGCACGGGGCTTTCGAAGATACCGCAGCCTTGCCTGAAGTCTTATTTGTTTTTTGTTTTTCCCCCAAAAAAAACCAAACAGCCACCAGCTAGTTTGATCTTATCAGAGGCTGTCAGAACAAGGCCGCCAACCCTCCAGCCCAGCAAACCACCAGCTATTTGAAGCCAGCCCACACCAGGTCGTCTCCGCCCCTGCATACCTACTTTTCTCAGCCCTTCAAGATGAAACTCGAATAGTATTGGACACCCACCTTGCGCCGCACCTTGCCCTCGCGCAGCGAAAGCGCCATGGGCGGCCATGGGCGACGGGGAGCCCAGCGATACCCAGAAGAGTGCAGATGGCAGCCTGGAGAATGCCACGCCCCAGGAGATTCAGAAGGCTGGGGCAACCTTGCTTGTTGCGAGGCAGGTGCTCGGAAGCTACTGGGGGCAAGTCAATTGAAATCCTTGAAGCTTCTACCTTAAGTCTGGGGACTGAAGCGGACCACCCATTGCAAATGAGCCTTTGGCCAGGTGCGAGCTACAGCTCCGCGCTTGCAGCTTTTGAGACGGCGCTTGCCTTTATGGAGGACTGCCCACTTTCAGTTTGATTGACCTGGCGCCAGCGTGTTTGTCCGTGGTATGCAGCGTGCTTGCTTTGTTGGTATTCCCGATGGAAGTCCTGGGGCAGGTCCATCAGTGCTGGGGTATATAGGTGCCTGAGTAAGTTGTTGCAAGGACTCCTGAGCTTGCGATGTGCGAAACCAAATCAAAACATCGAAACAAAATAGCAGTTCCTGCATCATGCTGGTGACTCAGGATTCGGGTTGAAGCGACGTTGCCCATTCCCATCGCTTGGTGTTACTTGAACGGCTGTTTCCAGCCACTTAAAATACCATATCTCAAGCAAAAATAATCTGTTTGTTTGTGACACTGCCGCCTTCGGCGGGGTCCATCGTTGGTGTCTGCCTGATATCAATCTCCCTCAAAGGCCTTGTGACAGAAAGCACGCAAGGCTGCAATAAGTGACAAGGAAGAGCTGCATCGGACGGCAAGTTGAGAGATGTAAACTGGTTTGAATTGAAGTGTCCTTTTATCTTGGTGAGAGCATTTATGTACCCGCTCTAGGGAAGGGCCGCCGAAAGAGGACCCGGTGCTTCACCTTCGAGCCACTCGACAAACACCGCTGGCGGAGCCGGTGCAGGCGCTCCTCTTGGAGAACCCTTGCGACCCATAGGTATTCTCAACTTCCAATGGACAGGTGGACTTCTTCTCAATCCTTTAGCCTCATTTGCCTGTCCATCCAACATGGTTCTGGCCGTGTTTGCTGGCCAGTTAGCCTCAGCGACTGTGATCCCACTTGGGGCACGACTGGTGGCTCAACAGCTGCCTTGTGAGGGTGATAGATGGTGTGAATCGGAAGGCGCCTCTCGGCACTCCTAGCGCCAGAGCCAAGCCCACTTTTGTTGGCCTAGCGGTAAAGAGGTGGGATTCCAGTTCCAGTTCGGGCATTGCACGCAGCTTGCCATGCCGAAATGCACATCAATGCTGACACTTGTTTTGGTCAGGCGTAAACCACTCTGTCATGCCACATTTCAGCACTGGAGAGACGTACTCATGCTCTCCACTTGCTGGAACAGTTTCTGTCCCTCAAGATGTTGCAGCAGATGGCAGAAATCTTGTGTGCTAAGGTTGGACGGATATTGCACCTTCAAGCTGAGGACCACATGCGCACAGAGCATCTCAAGACAGAAGTACCCTTACAGCCTCGACTTGGTTGTTAACAAATCATGTAAGGCGGGATGGAATGATTCAAGGCAATGTCCTGGACGGTTTGGATCGAATGGTGAGGACATTGCGCTTGTCAATAGGCGCCACCCTGCCACCCTTCAGGTTGGTGCGTGAACCCCGAACTTGGCTGGACCAAGTGGCATGCTGGTTGAAGGATGGCATTTGGTTTCGCAAGCTTGTGCCTTTTCAGGAGGGTGATCTTAAGGATGCTGCCATTGCCGAGCGCCGCTTGGCAAGCGTGGGCCGGTGAGAGGGCCAGGTTGTGCAAATTGACAAAGGGCCATGCCCGATAGTCGCAAAGTTTCTGGTGGAAAGCGATAACCAACATTCAACTCCACCAATCCCAAGCAAGGACAACCATTTTCCGGCCTGTTCAACGACCTTACGGCCTCAGTCCTACAACTGCAGCCACCTGGCCATGCGAGCGAGGCGCAATGAAGCTACAAGAAGTCTGTAATGGTGTCTCCAACCGCGGAGGCATGGAAGAATATTGGCTGCTTGGCATAGCCCCGGCTTGGGGGAGGGCCTTGGACATGCTCAGTCATCTCAGGTTTTGGCAGCTGGGTTTCAACATCCGAAAGAGCTGGGTAGGCCCTACTCTTGTTTTCTGACTTGGTCAGCCAAAGCATCAGTTTTCCTTTGGCAGAGCTCGCACCACGGGAGGTAGGCAAGCAAGGTTCTTGGCCGGGGTTTGCGAACTTTTACTGGCGTTCCTGTGTGTGCAAGCGGTGGTTTCTTGTGCTGTCATGCACAAGAAGGGTTTGGTTCGTGGTGTCCATCAAGAGAACAACATTCACCACAAGTATGAGCTTGGAGTTGTTGCTGGACAATGCTATTTTGTTTGCTCCTACCGTTGAAACGCAACCTGGAATCAGAACTCTCCAGGAGAGAGCATTCTCTCTTCTCCAACATTGCTGCTGTCATTGTGGAATATGTTTGGGCTTAGCTCCTTTGGCAGAAGAATAGCTCAGCGGATCGAGCTATGCTTGAGCTTTCAGGCCTATGTCGCTACCGCCTGGTGAAGCATGCACAGTCGAACAAGGAGCAGAAGTTGCAGGAGGCGCGAGGGTGGCAGTTGACTCAATCAGAACCAGGCTTGCGATCAGGGGGCCATTTCCAAAAACACACCCGCGTGGTTGGGTATCATTCATATTCTCAGCGTGAACTCCATTTCAAGGCAATCCTCGATTTTCAACGGCATCGCACTTTTAGGAGCTTTTTTCGAGCTATGCAATTGCCATGCCATTGCTAGGCAGTGCTCCCGCCACCGCTGCCGTTGTTCTTGACCTTTGTTTTTTTCTTGCTGGTGGTTACAAGCGAGCACCATTCCTGGCTTGCTTCTTAGCTAAGCTGGGTCTATTTGTTTTTTCGAGGCTTTGAGGGCGCCCTTTTTGTTGTCCAGCGGTTCCAAAAGGAAACCCCACCACTCAGGGCCCATGCGGTTCATCGCCAGGCCATGAAGTACCTGCAGGAGGCCAACTCGTTGGACCGAGAGCGCCCGGAGATCTTGGCCTGGCCGGGGATTTGCGCGGTGGAGCTGGGCTTGGTGCAGATCGCCAAACAAGCCTTTAGGCAGCTGGATGCAGTTTGAGGAGCGCCTGGAGGCACGGGCCGTTTCTGCTTTTCGAGGTTCATTGTGTCTCCTGACATGGGGAGAAAGCCGAGGTTGCTTTTTGGTGTGATTGATTGGTTGATTGGTTGGTTGGTTGATTGATTGATTGATTGATTGATTGATTGATTGATTGATTGATTGATTGATTGATTGATTGATTGATTGATTGATTGATTGATTGATTGATTGATTGACAGCGGCAAGAGAAAGGAGGGAGGAAGCAACTTCAGACAATTGCATCAGGTTGTAAGTACTCCAGCAAAGCGCACGCATCCAGAGGTCCCGGTAGCCTTGGAGTTGGCCAACGTCTTCCTCCGCTTCAGCAACGAGCAGCAGGCCAGCTACGCTGAGCGAGGTCGCTTGGTCCAGGATGGCCGGTACTGTGCTGAGGCTGCGGCGATGGCCAAGGCACGGACGGGAAGGTGAAGCTGGCTTTTGGAAGGGGCTGGGGGTGTCCAAATTTGCTTCGAAAAGCAGGGAACTAAGGAGCTACCACGGGGCCTGTAAGATGACAGATGGCGGTGCACAGGAGTTGGAGTCTGAATTTCAAAGGCGCCCCTCCACAGCTTGTCCACACCCTGCCTTGCAGCCTGCTAGCTCCTGACAGAAGGGCAAGCAGCAGCTACTGGTAGTAGAGCTTTTGCCATTCACACAGGCACTAATGTTTGTTGTTTGCCCCGTGACAAACAATGCAGCCTAGGGAGTGTCAGGAATGAAGACGAAGACACACCAGCCTTTTTGTTGAGGCCTCACCCACCAATGGACCAAGCAACCCAGCAGTTGATGGACCCCGTGAAACGAGGCCATCATGGACCGCGGGGAGTGCGGTCGCGCCCAGCAGATCTTGGCCTGGTGCAAGGCCTTGCAGGGAGACCACGGGGCCGCTGCGGGGGACTTCTGCGCCGCGCTGCCTAACCTCACGCAGGAGACTCGGAGACATCCGGAGAGGTGTGGATTGGGGTAAGTCTCACTCCCTGAGTTCATGGACTTTAGTCACTGTTTGGATTTGGAGCATTTTAGTGGTAAACAAACAGTTTGGACTTTTTTTGGCCAGTCCACTAAGGAAGTGAGAAGTGTGATTGTATGTTGTCTGAAACATTCTGAAGCAATAGCTGTGTGGTGGCGTTGTGAAGTGATGCGTGTGGCTATTCGAGGACATGCAGGTGGAACTGGGAAACATTGGGCAACAAGAGCAGGTCTAGAATGTCAAGACTGGTAACCCCCAGATTTACTGCCTGTTTACCGCTGACCAGCAGGCATATCCTGCAGCAAGTCTGGTTAGAACGTGCGTGTAGAAAGGAATGATGGATGACAGTTGGACCAGTCGTCTCTCGTCGGCAGATCATTCTGTTTGACGTTTCCTGTGGACATGGTTGGCTTTTGAAACGAGACTTGAGACCAACCGCCTGAAGATGAGCTTTTGGATGTGTGTCCTACAGGAGGCAAAGCAGTCGCTGTCACTTGCACTTGCCGTGGGAGTGGGGTCTGCAACTATGTAAGCGTACAAGCACTCCTCCAAGAATGTTTCGCCAAATCTTTCGCGGAACAACGTCTTCGACACCTGCAGTGCTATGGTCCTCCAATGTTCTCCACAGTATAAGTCCTTACACGGACCTTTTGCTCAACTCCCATATCAAAATACATTCTCGAATGCTGAACATATGTCCGCCTTGTACGGTTTATTCATGACAAAAGGCAACATGTTGTTTTGCTTCCGGGGGTCATTTTTTCCTTGGGCATCCTTGCGTGTTGCGCAAGCCTGCCGGCGCAAGTGAGCGGCGCGGCTGCTGGGTTTGCAAGCACAACTGCAGCAGCAACCATCGCTCCAGAGCGTGGCGAGGGAGTTGCGAAAGATTCGCGAAATAGAATTTCTTTTTCTCGCGAGGAGCTGTGTTTTCCGGAAGCAGGAGTTGTTTATCAAAGGCCATATGAGTGTCGTTTGAAAAGTCCCTGCATTCAGATATGAGGGAGAAGAGCGGGAAGACCATGTTTGTTCTTGGCGTTGCCCTCGGCGCAAGCTTCGCAATGGAAGTCGCGAAAGTTAACTCTGAGCGACAGTTTTGTGTAGGGGTGGTTTGCTGAATGCAGGCTGAGATGATGAACCATGTGTATTTGCCGGCAGCGCGCGCAGCAAGCACACTACACACTGCTCGGCCAATCTCGCCCAGCTCAAAGATAAATCACGAACACAAACTAGGTCACGCAACATCCATCAGGAGTTCATGAGATGTTTCAGGTATGCATTTTGCCTGACTTGAGGGCGAGGTTGCTGCAGCTCGAAGGCCAGGTTTACCACAGGAGCTGTCACCTCCGACAATAAAATAGTCCAAACATGGTTGCGACTGATGGGTCCTGTGAGCCGGTGACAACCTTGTGATCATGTGCGCTTTTGTTTGTGAAGGATGGTAGGTAAAAATAGTGCACAGCATGCGTTGTGGACGCGTATTTTCTGCCGCTGCCCTGCTAGCCTGAAGCTTTGAGTCTTCCTCTTAACCTTTGTGCGCAGACATTCCGCGAGCAGTTCTACCTTTCATCCTAGCCCGTCTCCAGAACCATGGCCATGCATCGCACTCCCGGACGGTTCTTTGGAAGGACCCCGCCACGCTGCGAACATGGCCCGTCACTGTGCATCTATGGTGCCTGGGGAGCCCCATTTGGTGGCCCTGGTGGAGGAGGCTCGCTCAGATCCGCTTCCCTACACCCAGCATGCACAGAAACATGGGGCCATGGATTTGGGGCCACATGGCAAGCGGCCCAAGCGGCTGACTCCAGGCCATCGCCATGGCCGTCGAGCCCAAGGCCTGGACAACGTCAGCGATGACCAGGCTGGGTGGGGCAGAAAATCCCTTTCCCTTTTGTTTGTCCCTTTTGTTTGCCCGTTTTTGGCCCTGGTTTTCCCTGTTTTTCCCTGTTTTTTAGCCTTGCAAAGGCTTGCTGAAATGCAACTAGCAGGCAAATTGCAAGCATATCGAGGGGTCGTTATGTTGCAGCAACAAGCCTGCCTGCAGCGTTTTAGCGTCCAGGATCTTCGCAGGACGAGGTCATTTCCTGGACGGACGAGTGTAATAAACCCCAGTGGTGCGTTACAGTGCGTTTGGAGAATCCCCTCTACAGAGAGAGTACCTGGCCTTTGCATGCTGTCCTTGGTTGTGATGTTTGAATTCGCTAACTCATTCCCCGCTTGAAGCGCCTTTTACACTTTGGTGCCTCATTTTCCTTTTGATCGACCGGCGATTATGCTGTAGGCGACTTGGGGAAAAGTGTTTGAACGCTAGCGGGCGCCTCATTTTTTTGCTCGAAAAAGGACTAGGTCTGTCGGGGGGAAGACGTCACCCCTCAACCCATCTGCGGGTTGTGGTGTTAGCGCCTGCGCTCCAGTGCCATCGATCCGCAGTCCTCGAGCGGACTCGAACTTGGACAAGAACTTGGACAAGAAACTTGGACAAATTTCATCACGTGTTCCTCTTGCGGAGCCACTTGTCTAAGTTCGGACAGGGAACTTGGACAAGGACACCGCGGACTGCCTTGTTACCAGCAACAGCAGACTCTAATGCATGGTAACAAGGCAGCCCGTTCCTTGTCCAAGTTCGCCCTGCTGGCGGGACTGCACTTCAAGATCCCGTGCAGCGGAGGCAGTTTTTCGGGCACTTTTCGGAGATTTGGCTTGGCGATCAGTGATTTTTTGGACCCGCAGCCCGCAGCCGTTCGATCAAAAGCAATGACGTCCAGGCCTTCCGACGTGTGCAGACCTGGCTTTAGGAGAAGCCCGCTGTGTGGGTGGCAAGGATGCCTTGCAGCCGCTCTGATGGCGCAACGGCCTCGCAAATCGACGTCGGATCGAACGTTTCGAGGAGCATCTCGAATGTCTTGAGGAGCATCTCGAAGAGCAGCAGGGCAAGAGCGTGGAGCTCCAGGAGCCCCTGGAAATTTCGAAAGAGATGTGCAAAGTTGCTCCAGCGCTTCTTTCCCGCTTGGCCTCGAGGCGAATGTGCGGGCGGCGTGTCCTTTGTCATCAGCGACCAGACCTTGACAAGGCGTGCTTGGGAGTGGTGACAAGAGTAAATGCCATTTAACTGTCTGAGTGCCACCTAAAAAAGCTGCTGGATGACCCTTAGTTTGAAAACATGTCGCTGTCTGATGTGGTCATTGTGTTGCTAACCTGCAGACAGAGGTGCATGATCAAGATGTTGAGCAGTTCCCAATCCCAATTCGTATGCGGTGCGCGCTGAGAACATGGTGGATGGCAAGGGTGAGTTTCGGAAGGAGTTGAACACTGCCCGATCGCACACCAAATTGCAGCAGCGAAGCAACAGCTAGCATTTCTTGTTGCAGCACGTCTGGTGGCCGGTGGACAGCGGATCAAGTCAAGATGAAGTGACCCTTTCTCTTCAACTGAACAGATGGAAGGTTTTCATGTGTGTGCACTGCATTTTCGTTTGTAACTTCCATTTTTCTGGTTTGGACGAAGATGGTTTGCTTGCGGCAGAGTTTGCGAGACGAACGAAATCGTTGCACAATGCGTATCTGGTGAGGAGGGAGAGATGAGTGAGCTTGACGAATGTGTGGGACCAGAAACTTTCTGAATCACCCCACGTGAGGGGAGGGGCATGGCCCATGATGCTAGTCGAGGGGTCAGATTAGTTGGAACGGCCTGACTGACGTTGTGTATGTGCAGCCAATGTGTGCATAAAGCCTAAGAACGGCCACACCCCAGTTGCGCACTGTGTAAAGGTTGCGTGTGAACACAGGCGTGGACTAAAGATAATTCCATTATTTGGAACACGTTTCATGGCAATGTTGGCATTCATTGGTTCAAGGAGAAAAGCTGCGCTTTAAGAAGCACGCTCTGACCGGCGAGTTATGCGTCAGGCAGCATAGAGAAACAAAAAGGGAAACAAAAACCGTAAGATTCATACAGCAGGGCCATAGACAAGGAAAGGGCGGGCAGTCCATCCCTGTCTGCAAGAGAGTCAAGAGAACATCTGAAGCTGCGGATACTGGAAGGACTTCCATGCACGACCTGGATCCAAGGGTGCCAGCACCAATACATCCAGCCCGCAAGCTAGTTTTTTGGACAAAACAGGCATTGACGTGCCACGGTGAGTCAGCCAATCCTCCGGAGCCTGGACCACCTGGGCCACAGAGAAAAAGTGATGGGCGGGGCCACAGCAATTCAGGCGCGACTAGGACCACTGCGAAGCCGGGACAACGGAGTGCAGAGCTGTCATTATGCCCTCCGCGCTGCATACGAAAAAAAGTGCCGACTGCGAAATGTCCGTCGTCGAGGCTGCTGTCCATCCCAGCATTTTTTGCACGAAACACACAAATTAAGCAAGAAGCACCTTTTTTAAGCATTTTTTTAAAATGCGTTTTTAGGACATGGCATCTTCTACGATAAAACTGTATATTGACTGATGCATGTGGTTTTGTGGCGTTTCCAGCTAATAGTTTACCGCACACGATTTGCGAAGAAGACATAGGGCGAGAGGGCCGCTAATGCTTCGTACTTTCGAGCGTCTCGTGAGCAAAACCATGCTACTGAAGACCCGTTGCAACCGCGTGAATGTTGTTATTGACTGCAAGCATGTGCTTCGACCTGAAGCTGGCAGACCAACATGGCCCAACTAGCAACACGTGGTTTGCTTGAAGACTTCTTTAAGCGTGCTGTGTGCTGCCTCTTGCAAGCAGGCAACAAAGTGCCCATTTGCAAGTCTGAGATGCCAGCCTTGTGGATTGACGCGCACTCAGTCATGGACACTTCAACAAAAACTGTATTGTGTTTCCACATGGGTGCTGGCTCGATGACAGACATTTCGCACGCAGTATTTTTTGGGTTAGCTAGGTATGCATGATATTCCAACTATAGCCTTGCCGTTTACAGGAAGCTTGATGGCAGGTCTCACTGAGGATTTGGCATCCCTGAGTCTTGTGAATGCCTCGATGCCTTTCTGGAACAGCACGGATGAACAGACACTGGGTTTGGAATTTTAATGCACCTATGCAGTTTTTCGGTTGTTTGCTTGCGTGCACTGAGACTGTACAGGCAGGGGGCAGAGGCCAGGAAGGAGTTAGAGATCAAGACGCACACAACGGTGAGTGAAAAGTACACCAGCAGAGGCGAGGGCATGTTGGCCATCAAAGTGCAAAGGAAACGAAGAGTTCTAGCCTGTGCAAGGTGGGGAGGATCGCACACATTTTTTTTTAACCTTTTTTTGTTTGTTTTTGCATGGAGAGAGGAGTGTAGCAGTGTTTGTGTGATTTTATGCGGAGTGCAAAGACAGATTTGCCAACACAGATCCTGTGGAGCGCAAAGTTGTTTCACGATTGGAGTTGTACAGATATAGAGATGATGAATTTGGAATGTAAACAATGTCTAAAGCGGCAATGTTCAACTTGGGGTGTTAAGTATTTGTGGGTGTCATGAACCCCTTGTCATGTGATGCTTGTATAGGCACAGATTGATTTGGTATGCATGGATTAGTTTGGTACAGATTGAATCTTTGAGCCGAGCGCTAGGCTGTGTGGATCAAAACAGCTGTGTGCGGTGACTGGTGGTGGTTTCTGCTTGGTTTGAGCCCCCCCATTGATTTTACTAAAACAGACTCAGACGTCACAGGTCGTGTATGCATTGCGCGAGAAGCCAGGCAAAATGCGAAACAACAAACACACTTTAAGGGCGGCCACCCTTGTACTTTTGTATTTATATATTTTCACAGTGTTTTGCTGTGTTGCGTCCGCTGGGCTCAAGCAAGGATGGTGGCATTTTGTAGTGCGTTGAACAACATGTCGCTGATTTTGTGTGTTCACATCTTGATCATGTGTTTGAGTGGCGGTGGAACAGCAGCAGCGGGTTTTTACTTGACTTGATCACGTGGCAGGACTTCATTGTCATGTGCAGAGCCGCTAGGCAATACCAGTGCCACATCACTGCTTACCACGTCAAATTTGTTGTTTAACAGCGTTGTTCGATCAACTTTATGGTTCCTTTCCGGGCAAAGGAAGTACGCATCCAGTCTCGACGAAACATAGAATCACACATAGATCCACATGAGCTGGTGTTGAGGACTCTCTTGTGTTTACATGATTTCCGATTCTTAGAGCATCGTGTATTTGTGATATGTTTGTTTGGCTGAATTCTTGCTCCAGCATAAGCGAAATCACTGCTGATGCACATGTGAGGCAACTGCCAACATCATGTCTAATACGCGAACCACTTGCAGTGGACCAATTTTTGAGACATTGCCCGAAAGCACATTGTCATGTATGTGCGTATAATGCAGACTTGAACACACGCTTTTGGTCCAGCCATGGCAACATCTTGGAACAATATCGGAGCTCCTTTGCTGCCAAGGGCTGATTGGCAAAATGCCCCAGGAGACATAGCAAATCGAGTGTGGTTTATGTGTATGACCCGCAGGCATATGGAAAGTCACTTGAGCCACAAATCAAACTCGGATAGATAAAGGCTAGTAGAGAAAACGTACACGATTTTAGCAATATTTTTCCATACTTGGTTTTGAGTGCGGCTCTTTTGCAGTTTGGAACTTTTGCAGGACAGGAAGCGGCGAGCGAACCTCCATCCGTCGTACCGCAGGATTCAGACAACAGTTCAGAAGATGCAGGCAGCGGAGTTCAGGATGCAGCTGAGCGAGCTCGAATGATGGGGTGTCAATGTGCATGTGCCATTGTACTCTGGCTGGCGTGCCTGGGAGCCATCATGATGATTTTGCGCGAAGCTGCTCAAGGGGTGACCAAAAGCTTCTATTGCAGCACTGATGGTCAAAAGGAAGACCTCGCATCGCCCGCGCCGCTGCAATGTGCCATCCCATTGGCATCAGCGGCTACACTGTGCAACATGACAGTGGTTGGCGGTCTATTGGTTGTGGGACGTTTTGCGTGGCAAGCGGGAAGAATCATGCAAGATGGTCCTGTTCCTTTGATCCAACTGCAGCAACATCGTTCGCGATTACAATCGGATCTCAGCATTTGGCAAAAGTTCAGTGCCAAGGCGTGGAGTTTTTCCAATCACATTCCAGCTGTTCTACTCGAAAAGTAGTGTGAGACTCGCCCCCCGGAGGTGCTCATTGTTGCCGGCTTGACTTATCTTGTCGCTGGTGCTCCATGTGCGGGCGTTGCCAAGCTGGCGTTGATGTTTCTCGCCACCGGCCCCCAGGATGCAATTTGAACAATGTGCAGTGCTCGTCGTACTGTATTGCAACCCGAGGCTTCATCACGCTCTATGCGACAGCCCTGTTCTTTGATCACGATTTTGATCAGGCAGGTCTGTTGCTTTTGAAGATCGGTCTGCCCTTTTGCATGTCCATTTTTCTGGAAACCGTTCATTGTTAGCACAAGTCTTCAAAAAAGCCTATGCAGTACTAACTATGTGGAACGGATATGGCTATGGTATAGAACACGGCATGAATAACTGAAGTCATGAGGTTGATGATGCATCATCCGATTGCTGCCACAGGCAAGCGCATACAGCAACCGACTTCTTTAACGATCAAAAGCTGATGAACGAACACAGTGAATAAAAACGGCAGTTGCATTCTAGCCAGGTGCGGATGTCCCCACGGCTTCTCAGATTCCTGCTTGTCTACGTGCTGGTTGGTCTTACCTTCACGGCCTTGGCTTCGGGAGCCACTGAACGAGTGATTCAACGTGCGTCATCAGATGGCCGCGCGGGCACGTGTTGCCAGCGCTTCGATGTCGATGGAGCCGCATCGCCAGGCCCGGGAAGCCATGGTGAAGAGGTTGGTGGCCTCGGGGCAAGCATCATTGGCCATGAGCCCAGTGCTTTGGTGACCATGTTGAGAGGTCGACCTGCTTTGTGGTTTTTGCCAACTGTAAGTCAAGAAAGTGGTGCCGCGTTGGTGCAGCAAGCAGTACAAAAAGGACTGCATAGATTTATGGAACTCCAAGATTGAGTGTGCCTCGCACTTGTGGTGAGCATAGGTTCAATGACGCACCAAAATGGGATCCCATGGTTTTTGACCACAGCCAGACCTGTTCAAAGCTTTGCGCCTTTGCGCCTGCGCTGAGGTCCCGAGGACTCGAGCCACTTCGCGGATGTTTGTACGTCCTTAGGACGGCAAGAAGTGGCACCGGCAACGTCTGGCACTAAGTCATGTTTTTTTTGTGTGTGCGTGATCCATGACGGTTTTGCTACGATGCCATGAAGGAATTTCAGCGTTTGGGACAAACTCTTCTCTGCAAATTCAGCAGCATGTAACCGTGCTGAATGTGCTGCCATTGCTTTCAGGTGCACTGTTCCTTTCGACTTTGTTTCCGGAGTTTCGCTATGGTGTGAACCTTAGTGCTCCTGAATCATTCCAAGCAGACAATGCCTTGTGTGGGAATTTGCTGGTAATGTTTTGAAAGCTGCTGGCAAATCGAGGTGGGCGGCTTCACCGGTGTTTGCAGTGCTGCTGCCTGCAAGGACAACCGATGAGCCCACTGGAGGCTTGGCTCTTTCGCTACCAGTGCTCATGCACTGTTCAGTGGACGATCTTGGCTCATGGTGTAGAGACGGTAGCCATTTGTCCAAGGACCAGAAATGCGAGTTCTAGTTTCTTGTTGCTTCCTCGTCAGGTTCGTGCCGTCAGTTTCTTCAAAGATGGCGCAAGCACATTGATTTCATCATTCTGTTTGTCAGCAGCTTACAGTTGCGCTGGACACCAGTTTGGAGCGTACACAGCTTTTATGTGGAAAGCTACTTGCATCAAGGTCACCGCTGCTTTGCTGTTCCTTCTTCGGAAGGGGTCCGGAACTTGGGAGATGTGTGCACTGCTTCAGTCTCGCCACAAGCGCCAAGTTGCGCATCGGTGGCGCCGATTGCCTTTGGCAACGCAGAGCTTGGAGCCTGGGGCGTGCTGCTGGCCAGTTTTGGGGAGGCGGCCTTGACGCCTTGACCTTTGTTCATTTTGCCGAGGGATGTTAGGACTTCAACTTTTTGCCAACTAATCACTAAACCACTAAAAGTTAAAACAACTAAAAAGTTAAACCGCTAAAAGTGGTTTTAGGTCCTAACCGTGGTTTTCCGTATTAAACCACTAAAAGTTAGTCACTTTTAGCAGTGCTTCGCAGATTTCGCAAGCGAGTTCATGTAACGCTTTTTCGGCTCCTGGCACTCGGCAGCTTGGCTCAGACCCAGCTAACGGAGCTTGCGATACGGTGCCGATGAACTCGCAAGGTTGGAAGCTGCTCTGCAATCTTTGCACGGCCCCTTCAACACAGTCACACATGGCATGTTTCACTGAAGTGTTTTTGTAGTTCTTTTGACCCCCCCCCTGATGGCTTCCGAGCACGCAGTGAAGGTGGGCGCGTAATGGTGGCGTAGCGTCGTATGTGCCGATTGTCTGATACCTTTGAGAGGCAGCCTGGCCAAACCAGGGCCCGGCGTGATGGTTCCGGAAGGTCAGACAGTGATATTTGGCACTTGCAGAATGGGGCTCGGCAGAGTGTTGGGAAGGTCATTTGGCATCTGGAGAAGAAGTAGACCCAGATGAAGCTCAACTATCGCTGGAGGATCGTTTCGTAATGCCGTATGCTCCCATGCCTGCGCGAGCACCGAGTCTCAGGAGCTGCGCCTTGAGTCCGACATCCGCGCACTGGAAATGGAGGCCAACACGGTACCTGGTACCAATGTTAGTCTTGGCTTTGGACGCTAGTTTCCTGATGCTTGAGTCAGGGTTAAGAAGGCTTGAAACTGAGGTGAAGCATGCCTCACTGTTTTGCTGTGGGTTCTTGTGCAGATCGGACTCCTGGACATGAAGCGGCAAATAGAGATGCAGGCCTGGTGTGCTGCAGCCGCAAGTGTTTGAGTCGTGCAGCTCAGGAGGAGCATCTGCGAAACTGGGAGCTGCTGCTGTCAAAGGAGGTCTGCCAAAGTGAAATTCTGAAGTTGCAGGTTGACCCAAAGAGAGTTTCAGTGATTCCTAGACAGGCTGGAAAGGAAGGAAATGAAGAGCGCCAAAAGCTGCAGCAGGACGCAAGTTGCGCTTGCCGCTAGGGGAGAGAGAGAGAGAGAGAGAGACAAAGAGAGAGAGAGAGAGAGAGAAAGGGGGAGAGAGACGGAGAGAGACGGAGAGAGAGAGACGGAGAGAGAGAGGAACAAAAACAATGAGCTTGCAAAGCAAGGCAAAGTGGTCGCGCGCTTGCAGGCCCAAGAGGAATTTGCGCAGCTGAAGGCGAAGTGCCGGAGCCCTGAAGAGACTCGAGACGCGTTGCGCCAGCGCAATCCGGGGCCTTGAGGTTCGGCCATGGAGGCCCAGCGACCGCCACGAGTGCCAAGCCCAAGAGGCCCAAGGCACCTGCCGAACGCTTCCCTTTGATTTGGTTGTGGGTCAAAACCAATGGGATCCCATTTTGGGGTAGGTCACCCATTTTTATTTTGGTTCGGGGTTTTAGTGGGGATTGGGATGTTCACTGGGTGTACGATTTGGATTTTGACCCATGGCCATTTCTCTTCATGTCCCTTTCACCTCCCTTCCTTCATTTCCCTTGATTTCCCTTGATTTCCCTTGATTTCCCTTCATTTCCCCCTCATTGCTCCCCGTTTCCCTTCTGCCTGCTTACCTGCCTGCCTGCCTGCTTGTGTGTCTCCAACGCGCCAGGCCAGTTGCGGCGCCAAAGGAGGCGCGGACAGGCACAGCTTTTCCATCAACCTCCAATGGGCTTTTGGCCAGGCAGTCTCCAGACCAAATGTGCCAGGAGCTAAGATTTGCACAGCCAGGAAATAGTCAATCAACACCTTTTGAGCCACAATCCATCCCGGATTGATGAAGGTTAGTAAGGGACAATCCCAGCCATCAACAGCTGCGGATATCCGCCTTCTTAATTCTTCCACGGTTCTGGGATTACGACCATTTTAATACCGGGTTTTGAGCAAGTGACTCTTTCGGACTTTCCGGCCGAGGCCCAAGATGCCGAACAAAGACGCAACGGCCAATGGGAAGGACACGAAGGCTTTGCGCTCATTGCGTTTGTCATTTTTGTGGTTCGTGTGGCTTCTGATGGCTTGCCCTCGCACATGGTCAAACCCGGCCGCTTGTTTCGCGCAAGCTGCCAGCGGAGGCTCCTTTCTACACTTCCACAGGACTCGTTGCATGTGGTAGTGGTCAAGGCAGGTGAAGCATGAACAGGAGAGCCTGGCCCCGTGCCTCTTCGCGCGGAGCTCAATGTGTTGCGAGGAAGGCATGATTGTGCTCGGGTGCTTAACTTGGAGCAGCCATTTGTTTTGCCTGGCTATTTCAGCGAGGGCCGCTGTTGCCAGGGATTGTCGGCGGCTGTTTTTCATTCCGCTGGGCACCCGAGCACGAACGGGGGCCGCCAACCATCCTTAAGCACTGCATGAGTTCACAACTTCGCATAGCTTCCGACATATATCCTGGGGCCAGCAGCCGCCGCAGCAAGCAACAGAGCGACCAGCGACAGCCACAGTGACAGCACCAAGCTCTTGGACGACGGCGGTGACAATGACAGCAAACGCGGCGTCACGAATTCAATAGATTCCAGAAAGGAATAACGAATTATTGCTCCGCACCAACGATTTGCGCACCAGCCGCTGAAGCTACTTTTTGGGAGGCAAAGAAGCTACCCGCTCGAAGGCTCGGGGCGCCAAGGCGCGGAAGCCAGCACTGGAAGTCTGGAAGTGCAGCAGTGCTCAGGCAGCGGCTGCAGCTGCCGCCGCAGCTGTTGCAGGAGGACACTGTTTTGTGTGGCAATTTTGGGAAACAAGAAAAGGAGGACATGTTTTGCAGGAGGACATTTTTTTGTGGTGTTGTATTTTGTATATAACTTTCTCCGTGCAAGCTTTTGAGCCTCTGACTCTATGGGCGCAGGGCGAAATCATGCAGGCTATGGAGGCTATGGGCCTTCCAGGCTCATTGCGTAGCGAAAATGAGAAGATATCACAGATCCAGGTGTTGCAACTCTGACGTGATGCTTGTTCGCGATTTATTCCTTTAGGTCAGCAGCTTCTCCGCACCGTTAGCTGGAGGTGTGAGGTCCTCCCAGAGTGTGTTTTGGCTTTTCAAGATGCAATGCGATAGCCTGGCGATGGCCTGATGCTTTGCAATGGGCTTCCTGAAAACGAGGAACCCAGCTGGGCCAATGTTGCCCAGTGGCTCCCGGAAATGCAGACCTTGCCGCGAGTCTGCAATCGCCAGAAAGAGGAAGTGCGGGAGTATCTTTTGTGGGTTTCTGTGTGTAGAGGTGCATGCCAGGTCATTTCTCTTGCATCAACCTGCCAGGTCAGTTTGCTAGCCTTACTTCGCCGAGTATCTCCACTCACATGCGATGGGTACGCAAGAGAAATTCATGTGCTTCAGTGGGCAATCTGCGAAATCGATGCTGCAATCAGGTGGCGTGGTCCGTTGTCTCATTTGCTTCATCCGCCAGGAACTCAGCGCAGTTTTCAGAGCTCAGAGGGTAGGGATTCGGGACATGGCCAAACACTCAAAGACGGTTGACGGCTGCGCAGCGCCAAACGCACACTGCTTTTGCGTTATGGTGCCACGCGCTTTCAGGCCGGGGCGCATCTTCAGCCCATCGCAGTGCCCGGTATGCTTGCAGGTGCGATTCGAACGGTTTGCAGAGCTGGGATTCGCGCGAGCCGTCAGGAGCTTCTGCTAAGGGAAGACTTGTGTCGAACTCCGTGCGGCCATGACTTTCACCGAGATTGTTTGGAGGCCGATTGCAGGTTGCGGAAAGGGACAGGTCACCTGAAGCTGGCAGGAATGGGTACTTTCCCGAAGATACACTTCACCAGGATGTCCAATTTGCCCGGGACTTGAGCTCTGTGACGCGACACGTTTCGAGCAATGTATGCGTGCCAAATCTTTCGCCCCCATGGGCAATCGATGCTTGCCGCTCCAGAGATCATTTGGAAGCTGCCAGCCTGCTTTGCACTGATTCGGTCAACCATTCAATTGGCGCACAGCAACACAAGTCCTGGCGAAGCCGAGGCCGAGAGTCTCTTTTGCTGCCAGAGAGCTCTGATCCATCGTGCCAGCACTTGGACAGGGCACCCTGCAGCTTCGTGAGGCGATGCAAGCAATGGTCATGTGTTGAGGCGCCTTCTGCTTGCGGACTGCCTCATGTAGGCGTTGCCAGTGTTTGCGAGATGAACACTCCACGTCGTTCACAAGCTTCCTTGCACGCAGTGCAGGAAAGTGGCTAGACAGGGACATGGTGCGTACTCTGCAAGCAGCGCGCAGAGGCCGCCAGCCAGTCATTCTGATCGTTGCATGTGTGCTTGTGTGTGCATAGGGCTTTCCCGAGTTGTGTCGAAATTCAGCTGCAAGCACATTCCTCAGGAACTTGCTGGGCCTTTGGTTCGCGCATTTGAGGCACTCTAGAAGCACAGGCTGGAAAGAGGTGCTTTTATTGCTAGATGTATGTAAAGATAGAGTTGCCATTCTGCAAAGTTGCCCAGTCAGTTTGCATTCGACAACTGATGTCAAAGGCCGGCAATGCGTTGCGCAGTTTCTCAAGGGTTTTTGTGGCGGACTTGAGTTGTTCCAGCGCGTTTCGCAAGTCGCGCGTCGCGCTTTAAGTTTGCTGCAATGCTCAGCAAATACATCTTGCAAGTACTCTTGTTGCACTGCAACTGTGAAGTGCGGAAACAGCTGGGAAGGCGATCTTCCAAGCACAACTGTTTAAGTGTTAAGAACACGTGCCGCATGGTGACTCGGCAAAAGGACCGAATATCGCACCTCGCCAAGCAGATCTCTCGCTCTTATGACAGGGAGCTGCCTTGCATTCACCGCAGGATTGGCTTCAACATGTATCAAACATCATACACAGCGGCCGTTACAGAAAACATTAGTAAACAGCATGGGAGTAACTCGCCTCTTCGATCAGCAGCAGTACCTCCGTGAACATGGTACGCTTTGGGCCACAACGTGAGCAGAACGTCCAGTCTTCCATTCAGAATTCTTTGAGCGCCACGGTATTTTGTGAGCCTGCTTCGCATGTGTGCGGCTGATGAAAGCTGCCCGCGGTTTGTCAACGTCAACCGAAGGGGCGGCTTTGGCCTACGAGGCTTGCTGGCGAGCGCCACAGTCGAGAATCTCAGCTGCCCACAGCCGACCTTTTAAGCTTTTGGTTTTCTGATTTTGATCCATTTTTTAGTCATGGCCCCAAAAGGTTAACTTTTTATTTCTGGGTTCTTTGGGCAACTGAGGAATGAAGCGATGGATCACCAGCAAGTCTCGCGAGCCCAGAAGAAATTGGACAGCAAGTATGCAGGTGGGCGCGATCGCCGTCACGAATTCAACTGGGTGTGGCTCAAAATTGAAGAGCTAGGGCAAACCGCAGGCTTTAGTCTTTGGCTCCATTTACAAAGGTGCCCTTTTGGTATATGTTTTTGACCCACAGCCAACTTGGTTTGCTTCCGGGGGAATTACTGAGCATGCAGGCTGCTTGACTACCGCTGACATGCGATGCCAATAGGTGATTGCCGGCATTCGGCACAGGCAACGATCGTCGCGCCACTTTGATCTACGACATCTACAATTCCGAAGGCAGCGCTTTGAAGGGAGGGCTGAGGGAGCCTCCTAATGACTTTTCCATACAGCCCTTAATCGTCGGTGGGCTGTGATGTTTGGCAGCTTGTTGGGCACATGCGCATAGACTGAGGAAGAGCAAATACATGTGTCCAGATCATGCTAGGACGCAAGCCCAGCCAAGCTTCGCAAGACGGGCAGGAGCTGAAGGCTTCGAGTTGAGTGACGGTTCTGGCCGGGCTTATGAATGGAAAGTGAAAGTACTTACAACTAACATCCGTATCATTCAATCTGTAGGCAGAGCCAGCAACAAGACGCTGCAAACAACAGCAACATGAGAAGCGTGCCGTAATTTCAATTCCACGACCGCAGAAGTTTCAGGACATATTGCTAAGAGCAAAGTGTGGGCTTGCGGTTGCCTTTGACGCCACCCTTTGAATGAGGGCAAAACTGTACATTGGTTGGGTCAAAGCACCGGCACCAGAAGCTCTACTGCTATTGGGTTGGATCTTTAGACTTTAAGTTTCCTGGGTTCCCTTCATATTTTCTTTTGACCAGCAAAAAGTCAAACTTTTTTGCTGGGGGATCTACAGCACCCAAGAGAAGGATCCAATCGGTGAGTTTGGCCATGCACTGCCTCAGGCTCAGCGAGAGCCTGACGAGGAGCTGGACACGCTGTGGGCTCCGGAGCGATGTACGTGTCGCTGCGGTTGCCGTGCTCAACTTGGAAATGGCGAGGGGAGCCGCTGCAAGGAGCTGAGATGAGTGGACTTTATGACTTGGCCTTGAGCCGAAGGCTCGTTAAAAAGCAAGGTGGAACGCAGTTTTGGTGCTGTGGCTCAAAAAACCGGACCAAAACGGGTTGCCCTGGTATGTGGAAACATGGACCAAAACCTGCGGTTTGCCCCTCCTGGTTAATTTTGAGCCACACCCATTTTGGTGCTGTTTGCTACAGAAGCTAGGACTGCCGGTGCAAAGGTTCGAGGCAGGAGTAGTTGCGCATGTTGCAGAATGTTGAGTGGTGCATAGCTGCAGGCACCAGCGGCTGTTGCAGCATGAGGGAAGAGGTGCAGTCCTTATGATGGCTTCCAACCAGCCGTGATGCTGCTGGATAGCCTAGGTTCGTGTGAAGAAAGGTCCGAATGCGCGAGGTGTGGCCCCCAATTGAAGCTTTTTCAAAGTCCAGCATCCCAGAGCTGCTAGCACAAGAGAGGACGTCAGCGGCGTTTGTTGAATCTGTCGCACAAGAGAGGACGTCAGCGGCGTTTATTGAATCTGTCAGGAGCCGGAGCAGAAGTTGGCAAAGGCCCCGCCACAAGGCCAGGCTTTCCTCTAGCGTTGCGCTTGTCACGAGCCGAACTGGAGTCAGGTCAGCCGACGGAGTCGCCGGACACGTTCCACAAGCAGTTGAAAAGCCGCTGGTTTCGGTCTTTAAAGAAACCGGCTGGTCAAATGCAAGCAGCAGCACCACCGCTCATTGCCTTTCAGTGAATGATCCACTTGTGATTTTGCGTGACATTAACAGCGGGTAGCACTTTATGTTTGTCGTCCTGGGCAATACAGCCTCACAAGTCACAAGTACATAGCAATCCGTGCATCACTGCATCACTACTGGACACATCCTATTGGATGAGGAGAGGGAGGTATCAACTGAAGAAAGTCAACTTTTAAACGAAGAAGCAACAACAAGGCCTCGGCTTTTGCATGACTCCATGACAATGACTCGAGCTGTGTTGAACTAGTGCAATGGCTGCTCCGCTGCCTCGTTGCGACAAGTGCGACAAGGAGTTGCCGACGTTCTTGCATTACAGACTGGTGAGATTTCAAAGAGACTCAGAGGTCCTGCCTGAACTTGGGCACCTTGAGCTAAGGAACAAATCTAAGTAGTGCCTTACTTGCCTTGTTCTGCATGTAAGCGCATCAGCTGCCAGGAATTCGATAAACTGCTGCAATGCGGTCGATGCAAGAATGCTTTCTACTGCTCGAAAGAGTGTCAGAATACTGCTTGGAAATCCCACAAGAGCCTCAGCGTCTGCACATGGCCTTTGCAGCAACAACTTAGCTTTTCACTTTCGATATGCTTGTAAATTGTATCCGAGGAACATATGCCGAAAACCAAATGAAGAGCCGCCAGAGGCAAAGATACACATGACTCGATTGGCTCAGAAGGAGGCCCGAAGCCAAATGTACTGCATAAGCGCACTGTCGATTGAGACACGTGTTTGGACGGCCATATAGGTATCTTTTCTTGAGGGTATCCTTTGTGGGCCTGGTTGAAAGAGAAACCAAAAGGAAGTCACCATTTTGCGGCTCCCCTAGACAGAGACACGCCCATTGTGCAAGTTCAGGCAAAACCAAAGCCAAAGAGCTTTGGCTACAGCCCGCCGGTAACTGTCACGAAGGAGGACTTGGAAGAGCCCGAAACGGCTGAACAGTTCAGGAGTGTGAGACGGTTCTGGTTGCGTTAAAGTGAACATTTTGGGGAATTCACAAGATCACTTTGGGGCGTGGACTCAATTTTCAGCGATGTCTGTGTTTGTGTGAGTGTGCACGCAGAGATGTGCAGAAGCTACAAGAAGCCCTGAGGCAGGAGCTGTTGAGAGAAGCCAAAGTGACGAATGCGAAGATGATGGCGGCCATGCAAGAGTCCGGCGGCAACTCCCAAGTCTTTTTGCCTCAAGCCGCTCTGCGCAGTGTCAGTTTTTGTAGGCGACATTGCCTTGCAGTCGGAAGGCTTTGAGATGAAATTCAGGGTTGGAGCAGCCTTGATTAATGATTGGTGGAGAAACATGGCCATGTGACTCGTCGAGCATTCTTTGAGGTCGCGTCGCTGAAGGAGGCGTATTATTCCTTTATCATGGAACGCATGTGTGCCAAAGATCCAGAGCGCGAGGCCTGGTCCGGGTGTCCACAAGTGAGCAATCAAACCAATTAGGGGAAGTAGGTTCCCAACCTCAAAACCGGTGTAAATTCGTGGCCTTGGGTACATTGTTTTCGTGCTGGCTCTTTGATTGTGACTCACGTGAACAAACCGCATTCTAGATGATGTTGCAATATGTAATACCAGCAAAGCATCATTGTTTGCTTGCTTCATTATGGTCTCATTTAGGCATGCATTTTGGTCAAGGCAGGAATGAACAGTTTGCTTTGTCTTGCCTTCACTGAGGATGTGCACGACATGGCCGTTCAATATGGCGAGGCACTTTTTCCAGAATGGGTGCATGTGCTGACTTTTCCTTGCAGGGGCTGATGAGGGAGGTAATCTTTGCACTGCTGCAACGGGGCTTGCCCAACTCCGCGAGTGTTGACCAGCCGCTCGCTGTTGACATTTTTTGCTGTTTCTGAAAGCCTGGAGATACCAACCAAAAGTCGTGAGCTGCCATGGATGCAAGCAGATACAACAGACTTTGACCAACATGAACATGGCAGCATTCAGCTAAGGTTGGATTTGGCGAACAACCACTTTCGTACAGGACTCTGCACCAAAGAAATCTAATTAGATGCGCATGACATGTGTAGCATATATACAAATGTATTGCATAGATCAAATGCATACAGGCCAAGTCTCTTAGATCAGCAGGCGACTTGGTCAGGAATAATACAGCAGATGTCTCCAGCAGAGTTTGCACTGAGTGACGGAGACCTCGAAGGCTTTGAACCTGCGGTCAGCTGCTGAGTTGCAGTCACAGCTTGCAATGCTAGGCTTGAGTCAATCTTACATGTGGGACCGGCCAAGACCTAACTTGAGGTATCTCGAGTGTCGCAGAAGGGCTTCGTGACTGTGGAGGGCCTGCTTGACGCTGAGATGGCTGCGGTCATACACAAGGCCTGACTCCTGCTTTCCAGAAAAAGCAAACAGGCCAACACTCAGAGAAAGGCCTGGTGCGGCTGAAAAGAAGGGGGCATCCACCCCGCCCTTCGTGGATGTCAGGAGTGTGAAGAAAACTTCTGGCATCATCGGGCTGTGGGCGCCATGTCTCTGGCGAAGGCGGAGTGAAGCTGAACAAGCAGTTTTTTCAGCACCGGGCGCCCGTTTCCACACATCAGACGGACTCAAATCAGACAAGGCAAAACCTCCAACCTCCACAGCCCCGCCTCAACCGCAACAACCCTTCTGGCCAGGGCAAGAAGGACGGCTTCTACGAGTGCTGGTTGCCCTATCCGCCCAGAAAGGGCACTTCCCCGGAGCTCGAGCACCATGATCTGCAGCCTTGGCGCTCCTCGTTCATCAGCGATTGGAGCAGCTAGCTGAGGCATGCTTTGAGGATCTTGTTTGGGCTTCCCCATGAATTTGGCCGACATGGATATCCAACAAAGCTGAAAACTTCAACTATGGCTCACTTGGCTTGCTTTCCACCAGGAGCCGCAGCTAGTGGGCAGAGAGCATGTTGCCTTTGTGGCGTGCAAGCCACTGCACTCCCATCTGCCAAGCCAGGATCAAGAGAAGCGAAGCATCTCGATTCTGCTGGAGATACCACAAATCCTCGGGAGTTGACGTATCTTTGGCGCATTTTGCTTGGATGTTCGGACTTTCACTCTTTGCCAACTAATGGATTTTCCATTAGACCACCAGAAGTTAGTCATTTTTAGCAGGGCAGCAGATTCCGCAACCGAGGTATTCCCTCTTCTTGGCCCATGACTGGAAGGAGGAGGACAATCTCTGTACTCACTCCTTGTGTGTCATGCACTTGTTTTTTTCTTCCAGGACTCTGGCCAACATCGAATCTTCCTGGATGGCAAGGAAGAGTCCAAACCACACCAGGAAGCTCGGTGGGCAAAGCTCTGACTACCAGTCTTGTGTGGATACTGCTCAAATGAGAAAAGTGCTGAGGATGTATGCCCAGAAGTGGGAAGATGTCTGATATTTCAATCCCAAACAGTGGAGCACATGGTGCTTTCCCCAAAGCGCTTGCTATTTGCACCACAGCTGAATTCAGAGACACACATCGCAACCGGATGGATGCGCCATGCAGTCTCAGGTATTGACAATATTTGCATATCGTGCAGAACCGACTTAAA